GGTGGGGCCCGGGGGCCGGGGCTGAGCCTGGGGCCAGGGCTGGGGTTAGGTTGCCAGGCCCCTGTCCTCAGAAGGTGGTTCTAGTGAAAGGGTTGGTTGCTGAAGCTGGATTTGGCCCAGCTCGTCTCTCTCTGCTTCCTGGCTCACCATGTGCCTGTTCCCTCACCATGGCCGGCTCTACTGGAGGCCAGACTAATGGGGCCATCTGATCCTGACCTGTGAGTCTCCTGTTGTAAGCCAAAATAAACCTTTTCCTTCTTAAGAAGTTCCTCTTAGGTATTTTATTTAAACTAATGAAAAGCTGGCTAATGCTATGGTGAAGGAAGGAAGGAAGGGAGGGAGAGAGAGAGGGGGAAAAAGAGAAGGAAACAGTGCTTGAGTAGAAAAATGAAACCCACGTTTGCTATTTGTGTAAACTCACAGGGGGAAGACCCCATTTGTTAACATCACTAGAAGCCTCTTAGTCAACATGGCGTCTTGCAGAAGGTAAGCCTCAGTACACTCCTGTTGGGTGGGGCATGGACTGGATGAGTGAGAAGAGCCTTGTGGGAGTCCAAAGAGAGAAATGAATGTGGAGAAGACTTCATCAAGTGCAGGAACGTTCGAGCGAGGGAGAAGGCTCTGTCTGGGCTGGCGGCATGAGTAAAGATGCAAGGGGAGCTTCCCCTGGAGGCACTTTGCCCTGACTCTGGCAGGGGCATGTGTTTTCAACAGGACAGGAGACACACTGGCCTGTGTGGGTAAGACAGACCCAGATATCTCCTGCCTTGGAGGTTATGTTAAGGAGTTGGGAGTCCAGTTGTGATTAGCATGTGGTGTCCAGGGTGAGACTCTTCTAGAAATGTTAATCAATACAACCCAAACAAATGGAAATTTTCAAACCACAAGTACTTTTCAGTCCCTCCAAAGGTAGAAACTTCAATTCAAAAGGCACAAATTTCTGTTTGCTGGGAAACCATCTGTATGAGTCTACATTATACAAGTGTTAAATAAATGTTACTTCTCCAGTGGAGATACTATTAACACCAAGAAGCTAAGCTCCTTTCTAGGATAATGGTCGTATTGGTGGTGCAGAAGGAGCTGCATCTCTGCAGGTTTTCCTTCTGATGCTCACTGGCAGATGCATGAGCACCAGGTGGATGCTTATGTTCTTGTCTGGGTGGACACGCACTGGAAGCTGGAAGGTAAAAGGGTAAAAACTGTGAGTGGACAAGGACTTCATCTTACCAAAGGGACTGGTTTGGATTCGGCAGGATTCACTCAGATTGAGCTACTGTATCCTGCCATATTACTGAAGACTCATTCGCCTAGATGATGTCAATATTAGACTACTAAGTTCTGAAATGGTTTCCTGGTAGGGAGTGGAGGGTGGACGGACAAGTAAAACCCTGTAGAGGAAGGGCTTGTTTCTCTTGAAAAGCGTGAACATCACCAGTTTCAATCACCCTAGGCAGAAGTAGATCCCTGGATAAGGCATAACACAGACTAGAGAAGAAGACAAACTCCTTACTTGCCATGGTTTTAGCCAAGCTTTGAGTTCTGCCAGCAGTGGGCACGCATGACTTCATTGTAGGTGGGTCAATATTTAGGCAACTGCAAGGCGGTGGGATGGCCCGAGTAACCAGAGAAATCACCTATTTAGTGCTAAATTCTCTTCCTGTGCCTGGCTTTTGAGTTGGTATCAAGCCAAGCATTCAGCCTGGCCTAAGCAAGTGGTAGAAATGAAGACCAGTGCTGGGACACATTGGGTCCCAGGGGTGCAGAGGCAAGAGTGGTGACAGCATTAAGCAACCCTGCCCTATTCCATGGAGCATGAGCACTCAGGACCTCAGGGGCATGGTGGCTTTACGAGGAAGTACCATTATTAGACATGAGACCTGTCTTAAGGGATTTTCTGAAACAAATACGAGAAACTCTACACATGCAGGTGGTGGTCAAAGTCATAGCTTAGTAATTTAAAGAAAATTGTTGGAGTTTAAGCAGAGTGTGATAAGTCATCCCTTTATCCCACCCTCTCCCCACCCCCACCCCCATCAGTTTAGAACCGTTAGAGCTTCAGGTTCAGGAGTTCAAAGGTGAAAGCATCAGCTTTATAACTGATAGAAGGGACTTGACCTTGCTCTATAAAAATGCCAGAGGATCAGATTGCAGAACATACTAACTCTGCTGAGGCAATGTTCCTTGAGAAAAACACACAGACAGGAAGAGTAGCAGGCATTTGGGTCCCTCATGTCTCTAGTGCAGAATAAAGAGTTCAGTGGGATCAGACATCAGAGTCCCTTGGGCTGTGAAGTTTTCAAGCTGCGTTATTAAAGAAACACCAATTCTCTGTCTGAAGTAATTAGCGCTGAGAGTACAACATAAGGGTCTGGCATGGCAGAACCTGGGCTTGGGCTCTTTCCTGCCAGCTTAGGGCTAGCGGAGAGGAATCACAAACTCTGTCCCTTCCACACCAGGAGGCTGGGTTCAAGTCCAGCCATTACAGCCTGACGACTTAGCAGCAGGACAAGTTCCCCCAGGGTTCGTGTTTAGGCAAGCACCACTGTTCTGGCCCATTCAGGAGGCTGGGTCCAAGCCTTGGTGTCAACTGCAGTCATCTTCAGCCATAGGTGTTCTCATTCACGTGGAGTTTTGCACCCAACCCCTTTTCTAGAAGGCTGATGAGTGAGAATCAGTCTTGGACAAAAATAAGGCATACATTTCTGAGCAATACCCAAATGAACTTGCTACCCTGTTCTCTTGAAATGACTGCACTTTCCCAGAACTGCAGGCCTTTGTCTGCAGGGGCAAAGTCTGCCTAAGTAAGTTAACTGGTTGGAGGAATATGAAAATGTATGGGTTCCCAGGCAGAGGCTGTGAAGCAAAAAAACGCAGTGCAGTCTTTTTTCCAAGTCTCCAATCAGCTCAGTCATTCACCTATTCTGGGGAGAGGAGCAAAGGATCCAGGAGCTGTCAGAATTGTCCTACTGGTGCTTTTCCTTCCAGGAGAGGGGAGCACTTATTTCTTTTCTTCTATGGAAATGTGCAGCATCTATGGACAAAAAGTGGACCATATCTAAAAGTTCTGGAGATGGTGGGATGGGTGGTGATGGCTCCATGACAGTGTGAATGTACTTAATGCCACTTGAACTGCACACTCGAGAATAGCTAAAACACTACATTTGATGTTGTGTGTGTGTGTGTGTGTGTGTGTATATATATATATAAATACAATAAGTAAATAAATGGAAAAGAATGAACTAGTTCTAAGGTCAGGGTGTTTGACGCAGCAGTTAAGATACCACTTTGGACGCCCACCTTCCATTGAAGAGTGCCTGGGTTTGAGGCCCAGCTGTGCGCCAGACTCCGGCATCCTGCTGATGTGCATCCTGGGAGGGAGCAGGTGATGGCTCACATAGCTGGGTCCCTGCTACTGACGTGGGAGACCTGGGCTGCGTTCCTGGCTCCTGGCTTTGGCCTGGCCCAATCCTGGCTATTGTGGGCTGTTGTGGAGTGAAACAATGAATGGGAGATCTCTCTTCTCTCAACCTTTCTTATAAAGTTTTTAAAAAGTTAAATGAACTTTTCTAATGATGTTCTTTAAGCTTTATTTTGAATAATTATCCACATTTTTAAATTTATTAAACATAAATGGGCTCTCCATAGCCTATACGTTAGCCAGTCTATTTCCTTCTCCACAAGCAAACAATAATACCAGCATTTTGGTATTCTTCCAGAAATATTTTATGCACTCACAAGCAAATATATCTTCCCACATTTTTTGACACAAATGGTTTCTTATTTTATACACTGTTCTGCAATTTGCTTTTTAACTTAGTGAAATTTTGAGGGGAATGTTTCATATCAGTCTATCAAAATTCCATTGTCATTACATGGATTTCCACAGTTGGTTCCATGAGTGACTCTTATACTGCAAGTCTAGGTGCTTTTTATCTTTTGCTCCTTCAAACATCAAGTATGTATCATTTCTCATATCTGTCTACTCATAGGACAAACTGTCAGACATAAAATTGTCTAAGACATTTTAAGGGTTTTCAACATAGGCAAACTTAGCCCTAGTACTGTTGAGTTGATGTTTGGAATGTGGCACTAACGAACCAATCTGATTAATCTGACTGCCCATCCAGAGAGCAATAATATACGTCCTACTGTTAGGCACTGTCTCTTGCTTTTGCATAGTTACTAAGATGGGAAAACTGTCAGATAATCCTTAAGAAAATGTCCATTTTCAAAAAGCAACCCTTTCTTACAGGAGTCAGGTCAGCCCACAACATGTAACAACCTGATTGAAAGTGAGCTTGCTTGAAATTATTCTTTTCATTTTCCCCGTGGTAATTTTCCATTGTTTCTACACTTGAGTACACTATCTATTTTGTTCTATGACAACTTAAGGATCCTACTAGGGGGAGGCAGCATTGTGGTGCAGTGGGCTAAGCTGCTGCCTATGGCCCCAGCATCCCATATGAGTGCTGGTTCCTGTCCCAGCTGCTCCACTTCTGATCTAGCTCCCTGCTAATATGCCTCAGAAAGCAGTAAAAAAATGCCCTGCGTTCTTGGGCCCCTGCTATCCATGTAGGAGACCTGGAAGGAGCTCCAAGCTCCTGACTTTGGCCTGGCTCAGCCCTGACCATCGTAGCCATTTGGGGATTGAATCAGCAAATGGTCAATCTCTCTCTCTCTCTCTCTCTCTCTCTCTCTCTCTCTCTGTGTGTGTGTGTGTGTGTGTCTGTGTGTATCTGTCTCTCCCCCATTCTCTGTAACTCTGCCTTTCAAATAAATAAATCTTGCAAACATACAAACAAAAGAGTCCTAATAGGTTAGCCAGAGAAGATACGATTGTCTTCACATCATAGGTGAAGAAACAGAGGAACATTGGCCAAGAGAAGCTGCAATTTGTTCAAAGTCACCCAGCAAGTTAGTGGAAGAACCTAGGTTAATACCAAGGCCAACAACCTAATCCCATGCATATCCTATTAATCTACATTATTCTTTTTTTCTAGTTTTCAAGGATAAGGGAGCAGTTCCTGAACCTACTGGGCCCAGGAGAGGTGTCAGTATGTGGGCATTCAATGATGGTCTCACTGTTTGGAACTTGTCCTGCTGGCACCCAGATGCTGAAGATGAACTGAGAGGATACCTCAGGCATAAAGCACACCTTCAAACCAGTGGGATCCAGGAAGGCTTCGTCTTCAACGCTTGCTTGTAGCTCACATGCCAAAATGGGAACAGGTAAGTCAGATTTTTTTTGAAGAATTGTTTTATTTATTTGAAAGACAGAGCTACAGAGAGAGGTAGAACTGGAGAGAGAGAGAGAGAGAGAGAGAGAGAGAGAGAGAGAGAGATCTTCCATTTCCATTCTACTGGTTCACTCCTCAAATGACCACAACGGCCAGAGCTGAGCTGAACCGAAGCCAGGAGCCAGGAGCTTCTTCCAGGTCTCCCACGTAGGTGCAGGGTCCCACGCACTTGGGCCATCTTCCACTGCTTTCCCAGGCCATAACAGAGAGCTAGATCGGAAGTGGAGCAGCTGGGACTCGAACTGGCGCCCATATGGGATGCTGGCACTGCAGGCTGGGGCTTTAACCCGCTGTACCACAGTGGCAGCCCCAAGTCAGATTTTGATGTTTGATAATCCTACTCAGGGAAGAACCAAGGAAATGATTTATTCATTTATTTTGCAATGGGGAGGATTTTTCACATGGTGCATACAAAAAATGCTCTGAACTATGAAACCCCTCCCATGCAGTGTAACTCAGGGTGGTATAGAATGGAACAAAGAAATCCAGCATTGCATATAGAGCAACCATTCTTCTGATATTAGACAACAGATATCATACTGGATGAGAGAAAATCTGTGTATATATACAGTCAATGAGAAATTTACTTTAAGTCTAAAATCTGAGTCACAGTGGACAGAGAAACTATTTTGCTATTTCAAAGTTTACTCTGAGTGGTATAACAAGCTATCCCCAGATCTCACTGGAATAATGCAATCAAGGTTTATTTCTCACCCATGGCACCACTGAGTGAGTTTGCATTGAGTAGAGTCATGAATGTGGCATTGTTCACCTCTGCCTTTATTCCATTGGTCAGGGCTCAGTCAGTATCACCCACCAACCAGGAGGCTGGAAAATGAGTTTTCCTCTGTGCTCAGCAGAAATGGGGTTTGGATGAATACACTGCAGTATCTCTGCTCCATCCACATAGACGGGCTCAGGGTTAAATGATGAAGGACACAGAAAACAGCAGCAAGCACACTTGTATGAGCACTAGGATGGTGAAATGAAGGAGATCTGAACAGGCCAGATAGAGACATTTCCTAGACACAGGTCTTCAGTAAAATCTATGTGGACATAGATTCCAGAACCCACTCTATATTATTTGTGGCCTGCAAAACATAGAAGTGTGTTAAGGTGAACTGTAACAAACTGGACACAATTCTCATTTCATAGTTGGAGTCAATCATTCTCTGTTAGCATGTTTTGCCATGTTCATGAAGTCATGGGTTAAAGAATCCTACTTGGTACTTCTAACACAAGGTACCTCGGCTGGGAGAGTCTTACTGGTAATTGAGGTTGGGATGCTTGCTCCAGGGCCATAGATCGGGAAGAGTGTCACTTCAGACAGGGCCACCCTGGCTAGGTTTGCTCCTGTCTAGTGCATGCTATGTATTTCACTTAACTTTGTGAGTGAACAAGTGTTGACCCCAAGATCCCTGGTAGTGATTTTTCAAACCACTCACCGTGTCAAATCTCAGGGAAGTGAAAAAACCAACAATCATAACCAAGGAAGCTCAAATATTATGAAAAGAAATGGAGCTTCATTACTTTCAAGCCCAAATCCCTGTGAGCCTAGCAAACCACCCTATGTCAAAATAAACATCTGTCTGTCAGCTCTGATGTTTAAAAACACAGGCAAGCTCTGTTCTCTGATGTGTCAGCCTTCTCCAACCTCAGGAGCAGGAATGTCTACAAGAGGGGGTGGGAATATGAGTGTTACCCGTGTGACAATGTGTCTAGGCTGTTACAGGTGTGTGGGCACAGAAGATTCACAGGAAGGTAGCTCAAGTGAACCCACATTTTACATAACGCTCTCTGAAACTCTAGCTAATTGGCTGTAGAGAAATGGGAACCCACAAGTAACTGACATCCGGACCGTTGGAAGCTCCCAGAAGACCTAGCCCTTGCTGGCTCTGTAGTCGCAAGCACCTGCCAGCTCTGCCTTGCTAAGGAGTGAGCAGAGCACCCCTGTGAGCTGCCATCTGCCTGGGGGAAGAAAACACAGATCTTCAACCCTGAGCAGAAGAGCATGGGCTCCTGTGCTCCACTCGGCTGTCACGCTCAGTTGCACTGGGCAGGGGTCTGCCTGTCAGCCTGTGCCACATCCTATAGCGCTGTTCCCAAAGACCTGTTGCCCCTACCTGTGTGTTCCCAGAGGACTCTGGTTTCCATAACAACAGACCCCATCCCTGGTGTGGTATGCATGGCCACCTGCCAATGCACACTGACTTAGCCTGGCCCCTGCAGACCTGTTGCGCCCGTTCTCACCCAGACAGCAGAGCTGATTTTCAGTATTTTTCAAGATGGAGAAGAGGAAAATGAGACTCAGTAAATATGTAAATAAAATAGAGCTTTGGTAAGCCATTCTAATCTTGGCACAGTTTGCATTTCCTTCGCAGTTGCTTTAGGTACTTTTAAACTTGCAGCAAGAATAGGAAGCCAGCTGTCAATTGGCTTCCTATGATGTTTTCTCAATCGTCTTTCAGAAGAGAAGTTGAATTCAAGATATTTTAAAAGCTAGGAACAGAAGCACGCTGCGCTTATGGAGATGATACCATTTTGTGTGTTTTCCCAAGAGAATACATTGGAGAAAGAGAATAGGTGAGGAGACACCCTTTGAGCTTGCTGCAACCTGGGAGGAATAAAGTGACACATAGCAACAGGAAAGTCTTCAAGGCTCTGATGTTGGAATTGCAGCTGGGTTTGTATTTGCAGTCATCCTTGTAGCCAGAAGAGCCACGTGACAAACATGTGCTCTGGAAGGAGTTAACAGAACTGTGTTTCCCAATGCAGAAGCAGGGGTGCAGGGCACTGCAGGCGGCAAAGCGATTGCCCCTTGCAGACATGAGGACTGTGGTGAGCATCAGTCCTCTGGGTGGATGCTGGGCTTGTTCCTTCTCTACCAATCTCAGTTGCTAAGAGCAGATGACCTCACACACTGTTTTAGCAATTGTTACTGCTGGGAATCATTCTCTTGGGAACCTATGGAGCTGGCACAATAAGTCTTGACACTCTGTTTATATTCTGACAACACTGGCTAACCCTCCTGTGTTGAAAAGGGAAGATTTCTGCCCAAGCAAATGCAACTGATGGAATAATTGTTTGCATGTGGCTTTGAAGGCGTTAAAATCATCATCATAGTGAGTTTTCACTTTGATAAGCTTTGTAGGTTCCAGAGATTTCTCATGAGCTCCACTTCATTTGATATTTGCAGTTACCACGTGAGGTAGGCCGGGATGACCTTGACCAGCGTGCCTATCAGAGAGGCTCAGTGTGATTAAATGGCTGGCCAGTGTCACAAGGTGAGTAGGTGGCACAAATTGCAATGCAAATATTCTGGCAAATAAGTTAGCAGCTTCCTATTCTACCATTCTGCTAAGCGTCAAAAATAATCCCGTGAATTTTAAAAGATGTAAAGGCCACTCATGCACCAGCCCCTAGAAAATTCACCGGCTGATGAAAAGGATCTATTTTGGTGATTCAAGGGAATATTGAGCGACTGACTTTGAGCAAAAGCAGCTGCTGCAAATAAGCATGATATATTCATATATTCATCCATTTGAAAGAATCTGATGGCAGGAGTTTGCTCCTAACAAAGGCGATTCTAGAAAATGCCAGCATCTGTATAAACGCACGTCATTTTCTGCAACTGCCATGCCTATAGGACCGCAGATTCTTCGAGCGTGAAGACCGGACACAATCTTGGAGATAATGTTTTTAAAAGTTTATTTTTATTCATTTGAAAGGCAGATAATTTTAATTCAGCCCCAAGTCACAGTTGAGGGAACCAGGTCCAGAAGCTTCAGAGAGCAGCCTCACTCAAGGTCACATTGTTATTACGTGTCAAGGTCAAGACCTCAGATACCACACTCGGTTCAGACAGAGGCTTCTGAGTGCCTCAGAGATTCCAGGTCAGTGCTGCACCACTAAGTTACACTCAGCACAGTCGTTACAAAATAGAGTGCAGGATTTAGAGCAATGAAGGCTGAAACCGAAGGTCTTCAACTTGCTTAAAGTTGTTATTCTGACAGTGGTCCCTCTAAAGAGCAGGCTCAGTGGAAACCAACTTCAACCCGCTTTGCCTGGGAGCCTTAGCATTGGAGTGTGACACCAGAGTTGGCTGGTGCTTGGTGTGGTGTGATGGCTGGGACAGGGTTTGGCTCCACGCTCCCTGGGCTTTCTACACAGCTTAGTTTATCAGCCAGGACGCAGTGCTAGTCCCAGAAAACCAGGCCAAAGCAATCCTAACCCATGTAGCCAGGGGCTATGATATTTATTTAAGGGCTTTCTCAGAGGCTTTCCAAATGGTCCAATGGGAGGTTTGTTTTCAAACCTCAGTCCAAGACCAAACCACTTATAGTTATGTCAGCAGCTTTGCCCAAGGTGTCCCTGAGCTGTTGTCAGCAGGCTTCTAAAAGAATCCTACAGGCTCAGAACCTGCGATGTGCTTCTGAAGGAATGGCCTGAGCGTGGGGTCAGTAAGCAATGTTCCCTCACATCTCTGCTCAGGGAACTTAATCGGACAGAACTGTTGGGGGATGGTCCCATCCCCCTAGCAGATGCTTTAGCGAGCAGCTTCAACCACAACCCCCAACCCAGGACCAAGGCACGTCCCCTCCTGCAGGTGGCCCCTTTGCTGAGCCCTTCCCCGGAGAGTACCCTCGGTCAGAGGTTGCTGCCTCACTCCAGATGGTAGCTGGTTCCCTGTGGACAGCCTGCCTCTGAAGACTGCTCAGTGTAGGGATAGAAAGGATTGGTCCCTTTGGGAGATCTTTGAAAGCCCGCTCTGGAACCCCCTGGGGGATTGGCTGACGCCTCTGTGCTACTGCAGGGAAGTTCAATTCTGCCACCTGCCCAGGCCTGCTTCCCCACTTCCTTTTTTATTTTTTCAAAGGTTGTTTTAATTTATTTGAAAGGCAGAGTTAGAGAGAGAGAGAGAGAGAGAGAGAG